AAGACGAGAAACTCGTCTTACTTTCCCGTCGTTCAGACGGGAAAGTAAGGTTGAGATGGAAAACCCGTCGTTAACCGAATTTATATCTGGACAAGTTTCTCGTCTCAGACGAGTTTCCAATCTCAGACGGAAATCCGTCTTCTAATATGAATTCAGCTATTTTCACGGATCACGTGACAAATTCTGGAAATGCAGTGGAAACTTTGAGTTGGCTTAATTTGAACTTACTTGCGACACTTGTCTGTAATACAGTTTGCCTTGTACCAGCCGCTTTCCATTGTTCAGACTTCAGACACATATACCCTGCAATGAAAGAATGCTTATATAATCCGTGATTGACAAATTGGATAATATTGATTTTAAGACATTGATATAAAATACAGATTAATAGTAATAGAAATGAAAAAAATATATATGAATAAAATACAGTTTTTTGTCGAAATCTAGACTTGTGGAAATAATATCGTTTCTATATCTGAGGATGAACAGTTGATTCTGAGGATGAACAGTCGTTTCTACCCGAGGATAAACAGTTCACTCCATTGAACTAAAAATAACTAAAACTAAAAGTTATTTTTAGTTCAATGGTTCACTCCAAAAACACTTGGGTTAAAATTCCTGGTTATAACGTCCTGGTTAACTTAAAATAACCAACATTTGGGTAACCAGGAATGTATAAATTGCGAGTTTATTTTTTCAAATATTTTCACAGGAGACCCACACTTTGTGTCGATTTTGATTCATTCAATATTATTGTCTATTTTGAAATACATTTATGGAAACAATTCACTTCAAATTTTGCTTCAGTAGTATTTGTGTTAAATTGTTTGTAATTACAAAATAGTCTACTCAAGAAAAATTTGGAGTGATTAATATTTAATCGATATAGTTTGGATAAAATTTATTTGAAAATATAGAAAATACTATTGAATGAATCAAAACTGACACAGAGTATGGTCCTCCTCGCCGTTTCCGCCTTACTATTTTAGGTCACGCGAGAAGGCCTGGGACTAGTTTTGAGCCTCTTGTGATATTTTTAGCCAGTGTGGGAGGCTAAAATATTCAGCCATATATAGAAGGGAAAATAGACATAGTGTTCTATAATTAACATGTTTTATCTCATGCACAATCTTTCTGATAAGTGGTGTGATTTAGTCTACGTGCATAGACCCCCAACAGAAGTGTAATTTCTCCTGATTACCATTGTTGTGGAAATTTTCCCGTATCAAGCACGTCATCATTGCAGAACGAGGTCAAGGTCTCGTGTGTGGGCTGGACAAAGAGCCTTTGAAACACCAGACAGTACTCGCTCGGTCGAAGTTAAAAAAAACTAATTCCTTTATATCGCTATATGCGTTTGCAACCTGTTTTCAAATATACAAAAATAAACCCTGCACTAGAACCGACATATCTTAAAATCTATATAAAGACCTGTGCAGATAATGTGCTGCTTTCTTAACTATACAAGAGTGCAAGGTATTTTCGAGTGGTTAAGCAGAAAAGCAGATGAAACCTATATATTTCATGCTGTATATATCATACAAATTAGTTTCGATATATCTGACAATTGCATTTTCCTAAGCTTAATCATTGCTATATTTGTATACAGCTAATTCAAAAAAAACGTTGTCCTTTGCAAACCTTAAACTGTAAACCTTAAACCTAAAACTCTAAGCGCGCAAAGCTTAATGGGAGCACAAGTTTCAAGCTTAGTAGTTGAATATTGCAGCTATTTGTGAATGAATTGTTCTCGTATAAAGGAGATGTTTACCATGACTCTAGCTAAGAAATGGGCCCCATATATGATTTCTAAACTGATTAAATGATGCTCCCATTATGCTTTGCACGCTTAGAGTTTAAAGTTTCAGTTTTAGGCAACCTATTTTGAATTAGCTGCATAGTGTTACCTACATTTATTTACCAATTACCACAATTAAAGTGATGGTGAATCAATTCCAAACAAGACACAAAATGAATTTAGTATGTTAACCATGCATGCATGCAATGAGCACCCATGCATGGCTGGGAATCGAGCAGTTTGAAGTTCACTAGTTGGCATGCATAGGAGGTTTATTCATAACTACTAACCGAATTAAAACGACATACAAAGCTAATTCTGTTGAGAATGATGGAATCTATGTTTTCAAAGATAAAATATTTTGGTGATATTTAATTAATTAATGTTTTTAACCCCCCGCTATCGAAGGACATTTATACTTGTATACAAATTCAAATCTGATTCATGATTGTCAACCAGATTAGAATATCTATAAAAAATAATTATTTAATATCTTCAAAACAATTCAGACCTTGATATGCCATTGTACTGACAGTACGCATGTTAGCTGGATGATAAACACTTCAAACCGGGCAATAAAATTAATTCGTCAGGAAAATTTTATGAAACAGGTAACTTTATATCAACCCACGTAATTTTAACGGTAAGTAAACTAACCTTATTTGGATTTATAGAAATCACAAATGCGCGAATGCAAGTTACTCAGTTACAAAGACTTGTGTCTGCGTGTATATATTGCATGTATGTGCCGAAAAAGATACAATGTATACACCAATAGCTATTTTTCAGATTCTTAATTAATTAAACAGTTACGCCTGTATTCTAAAAGCTCACTCACACTCAATGAGTGGAGGTTAAATCTGAGCTTCTCTTGAGTGTCAGTGCTGTTTTTGAATAGCTGGAGGGTGAGTAGTCACATAGTAAGGTATGACACTGACCCTCCAGATATTCAAAAACAGCAATTACACTCGAGAGAAGCTCAGACTGAACTTCCACTCATTGAGTGTGAGTATAAGTGAGCTTTTAGAATACGGGCGTTAATATAATTATTATACTAAGTGACATCAGTAAAATTGGTATAGCATAAATATTATATATGGCTGCTTGTTTAAAGCTGTTAATACCGCTTTTAAACACAACTGATGCAAGACTTCATTGGTCCACTAGGGTAAATAAGACTTTCATTGGTTATCAGATGATCAATCTGAATGTAGTGTCAAAATTCGTGTCTTGGATTAAATTTTCAGTGAACGTAGCAGACCGTATTTTAGACACTGTGGGAGACTCATGGGTCACAGAGATTTTTCGGGTTTTTTTGTACAAATCTGGTTGAATCATATAATTCTTATAACCAGATTAGTAAAAAAAATATGTAATATCTTTAAAACCATTCCATAATCTCTTGTACATGCAATATCTTTAACACAATCAGCCAAGCATGTAATGTTACCAATGCATGCTATTGTAATGTTACCAGACGAAACTCACTGAGTGCATGAGTGTGAAAACAGTAAACCTTTTATAGTCATTTTGTATATGATTCTATTTATACTCGTGAGTACATAATTATGAGACAATGATTAAAGCCGGTTTTCATTAGGCGGTTTTCCATTAGGCGGAATTTTGCGCGCGGAGCGAAATTTTTCTTTGTCTTGTGATTAAATTTTTCTTTATCTTTTCTAATTCGTTCCACCCAAAAAATCAAAAGACAAAGAAAAATTCCGCTCCGCGCGCAAAATTCCGCCTATAGTGGAAAACTGACTTAAAGTAACATGCAGATTGTCAGACAATAGACATAAATAAATCCCGCTTCACCCACCCTTTCGCCCATGGCCACCCTCACTTGCCATGTATGACACGTACACTCCTGTAATTATACCAGCATGCATATATATACAGCTAGCCCCTTGTTTATATTTCCAATAACGTTACACTCCTCGCAGGATATGGAAGTCAAGTCGAAAATCTTCATCGTTGTAGCTTGTTGGCTTGTTATGGCCACAATAGCTACGGCCACACTGCAGCGCCGGCCACTATGTAAAAAGCAGAAGGACCTAATTGGTTCTTTCGCCCGTATTCTGAAGAAATATAACACGAGCAGCTTCAGTGTTGGAAAAAGACTCAAAAGACATGTACAGGTAGGTGTCTAGGTGAAGATCTGATACGTTCAGTCGTTAAAGAGAAGAGGTTTATAGCTGAAGTATAGAATTATATTAGCCGTGAGTTTGGAAAGTCTGAATTAGCCAACGGCAATTATCTTACATTAATGTAGTCCACAAAACATGTATAATTAAAACTTTATAGGAGTTTCACTGGAGTAAATTTTCGTCTAGTTTTATAAGCAAGTTTCGAGTCCTGTGGTCAGCCGCAATCACGCACAACACCGACCAACAAGCGCGTTATAAATGAGTTAAATGTTGGCGTGGTTAATTATATGAGACGTGGCGGAATAATGGTGTAAATAACGCATTAGTTTGAAGAACGGTGTACTAGAATGCTCAAGGGAATACAACTTATATAGTCGCCTTTGTTGTAAGTGTGAAAATACTACTGTTGGTGAACAAGTTCTGACTGACGTTGTATCTCCCAACAACAACAACAACAACAACAACAACAACAACAACGGCAGCTAGGAAACGAAATTACGTACACTTTTGTACGCGAGCTAAAAGCATATATACTGTTGGCGTGGTTATGAACCGTGAAAATCATGTGAATAACGTAGACGTTTGAACAGCTACGGCGTACTAGACAAAAAAATTTATAGTCGCCTTTCTCTTTGAGTAAAAATGCTCTTGTTGATGATCACGTCTTCATTATTGACGTTGCAGTTGTATTTGCATGCACTATTCGCGATCCTTTAATACGCCTGTAGTTCCAACTGTATATTCATTCGGCTCATTCAGGTGATATACTCATGCTTGGTTTTAGAGTTAAGCATGAACACACAGGGAGGCCATCTCGGATCTTATTGGAGTTTTGTATTAGCACTACATATGAAATATATGGCCCAGTGTTGAAGCCTGCGATTGGCGGGCTGGGTGCGTGCCCCGAGGTCTTGAAAACGGCCCGAGCCCGACAGCCTGCAAATCGCAGGCTGACCTATAATTATAACCTATAATGTAATTTTAATGAGTTGCCAAACCATCTCTTCTATTGGCTATGGAGACACCAACGCCCGTATTCTAAAAGCTCACTCATGCTCACACTCATGCACTCACACTCAATGAGTGGAAGTTCAATCTGAGTTTCTCTCGAGTGTGACACTCGGAGTGTCATTGCTGTTTTTGAATAACTGGACTACTGGAGGGCTAGTGTCATACCTTACTATGTGACTACTCACTCTCTAGCTATTCAAACACAGCATTGACACTCAAGAGAAGCTCAGATTGAACCTCTACTCATTGAGTGTGAGTGAGCTTTTAGAATACGGGCGCAAGTGTACAATTGGCATTACACTCACTAGTTTTGAGTGTTACGCAAAATACAAAAATATCTCTTCTTAAAAAGTGAACTGAAAAATTAAAAATTCGCACACATATAGAAATTAAATGAACAAGAAAAATGTAATAAAATTGGCGTACTTTCTTAAACTTAACAGACAAGAAGCCGCTGGTCAGTGAATTGTTGGCTTGCATCATTCATTAAAGACGAAAACAATGAAATTGTTCTCTCTCTCACAATCGGAGGTTGCTGTGATAAGTGCATGTTTCCAGACTATTCCAAGTGTGTCAGGAATCGCCTGCCTTATTGGGAGTGTGCAAGCGATGCATACGATTGTGTATACAATTGTCGTAATGAGGCCAGTGTATTGGATGCCGTGTACAAAGCAAATGACTTAGGATTGGGCGCCAGGAAACGTCAATTAATTCCAAAAGTTGTTAACAAGGTATGTACGCTCTAAAAAAAGGTGTGTTAAATTTACACACCTTTTTTGTTCAAAATTTAACATTGAAAGTTGACTGAAACACATGTTGTGTTTAATTAACATGTGTGTGCAAGATGGATATCTCAGAGCGTGTGAAACATACTAAGGTGTGGGTTTCACACTAAGGTTTCAAAACACACCAAAAGGTGTGTTTTCGGCTTGTCCAAATTTTAATAGTGTGTTTTTGAGAACAGTTTTAATTCATACACACCATGGCGTGTTTTAGAACTGACACCTAAAGCCGTGCTTTATAACACATCATTGAGATCTGTCATGTTTACAGCACGTTGTAAGGCGTGTTACATAACACACTAAGGGGTGTTACATAACACACTAAGGCGTGTTACATAACACACTAAGGGGTGTTACATAACACACTAAGGCGTGTTACATAACACACTAAGGCGTGTTACATAACACACTAAGGCGTGTTACATAACACACTAAGGGGTGTTACATAACACACTAAGGCGTGTTACATAACACACTAAGGCGTGTTACATAACACACTAAGGCGTGTTACAGGTGTAGGTGCCTACAAGCTAGTGTATAAGAAAACATATTCTTATTAAACTAAGGCCTGCACGTGCTCATGTGTATCATGAAACAAGCTCATTTGCCTGTAATTGTAGTCGTATGGGAGTAAAAGTTTATTTAATGAATTAAACACGCTAAATTTAACAGTTTTATTGAGAATTCCATTGTACAATAAAACATAATCAGAACATGACAAAAACTGCTAAACACACAAGAAACTAACGCAGAAACAACGTATTCTCCGATTCGAGTCCGCTTTATCAATTTTTCATCTTCATCTATCTGGCAAAAATCACGAAGTCTAGAATTGAAATCTTCATGCTCAAGTTAGTCTATACTGGAAATTTAGTGATGTTTGGACAGGTTTTTACTGGACAATGTTTTCACTGCAGTGGAAGTTCCAGTTAAATGAAAAAGCAAAATTTTCAAAACGCCGTAACTTGCGCCCTGAATGTCTAAAGATCATGAAATTTTCAGTATAGACTAACTTGACGATTGAAGATTTCAATTCGGATGCTCATTTTTGGCTGTGTAGATAGTGAGATGACAAAATTGATGACGTCATCTCGGATTGGAGAATAAGTACAAGACAATTAGTAGAGTACCCAAATTTAGACTATTTAGAGCGGGAATGGACCATTTGCATTATAGACTAAATTTTGATCTAGACAAAAATTTCATCACAGCTTGAACGAGCATCATAAAATTAGTAATATTCCAAAGTTTCGTTGCGAAATGTTGTAAAATGCGGATAATATAGCCTTGCGAAGTTTGCAATTTTCAGTCATTTTAGATTACAAACGGAAAATTGATGCCCCAACATCCGTTTGGGCTGTCAATTTCCCGTGCGTAATACAAAATGACTGAAAAACGACAAACTTCGCAAGGCTATATTATCCGCATTTTACAACATTTCGCAACGAAACTTTGGAAAATAACTAATTTTGCGATGCTCTTTCAAGCTGTGATGAAATTTTTGTCTAGATCAAAATTTAGTCTATAATGCAAATGGTCCATTATAATACCAAGAAGGCGGACTGCACACTGTTTCTGGTGAAAATATTTCGAAAACCAAGCAAGCTACGAAACAGTTGTAAAGGGTCTTTATATGTAACTTTAAAAGTTCTTTCAAATAAGACAAAGTTAGTTTTTATTGCCAAATCCCTTTAATTATTTGTATGCATGCTTTTTTCTTAGGCTAATTGTACATGCTTATCTGGTTATGACAGCTACGACCAAGTGAAAGGTTGTTCCATCATAAACCTGTGTATTCCTGACAAAGATTGCCTCGCATTGAATGCTGAATGCGTCATGTCCGCTCCTGGTGTAAAAGAGTAAGTAATCTCGCACCGTCTTTCCTTTGTGTTTTGTGAATTATTGATGAATTTTGAGAATTTCCTTTAAAGGTGCCAATGCAAAAGTGGGTATGTTGGAAATGGAACAGCCTGTTACGGAAATATTGTACAGGTATATTTTAAATGCAGTGTAAACTCTCGAGTCTCAACTCGCGTCCTCGTTAAAAACTTTTGTTCCCTTCTTCAGTGGATACCTTCGGTTTCTCCCCATCGCCAAAAACTAAACACCTTGGGAACCGTTCATTATTTATGGGAGGGGGTATGGGGGATCGGTGAGGAACTGGGAGGCTTGAAATTTTTCCACACCAAATTCTGGGGGGGGGGGCTGGAATTCAACAAAGACACATCTATAACTTTCTCTAAGGAAAAAGCAAAAAGAAATCAGATCTACATAAACGTCATCTGTGAATTTCTCCTGTTAGACAATGTTGATTTTCAAAAGATTTGATTTTTTTTTAGTGAAATAAGGTATTCATCATTCGACTTTTAGCTAATAATTTTTTTCAGGGGAACCTTAAAATGTATTGTTAAGGTAAGGGGGAATCGTCACACACCCCTGAAAAAATATTAAAATTTAATGTTCCAGGGGGGAGTGCCTCTATTATTTAGGGCACTTGCTAAGAACATGGCCACCATACATGCGCAGTAAAAACTATCTTACGGTGAGACCTCTGTATGTAATTATTCTGTGCTAAAGGTTCGAGACTACATTCATTTTTAGAGAATCGATGATCTGCATGGTTATGGCCAGAATAAGGACAAGTTCATCCACGTCAAGAACATTATCAAAAAACATCCTGACTTAACCTTCGCCTTTACTGATCGAGGACCTTTCACAATATTTCTCCCAACCGATAAAGGTCTTGAAAGCAAATTTAACAAATCGCAGGTATGGTTAACTCAAATATTTAATTTTTATATATTCAGTATGGAGAGGTTCAAATTTGACTTCCAAGTTGTTACAAATCTAGATGTTCACAAGCTGTCGACAAGTTGTTACAGGTTTGCAAACAAGTTGTTACAAATCTGTTCACAAGCTGTCGACAAGTTGTGTTCGCACTGCTTGTTACCAGTTGTTGTAACAAGTTTGGAACAAGCTGTTAACAACTTGCAACAAGCTTGGTAGCATTATCGAACTTGTTGCAAGGTTGTTCTAACAAGTCTGATATAGTCATGGTATAACAAGAATGTTACAACGTTGACAACACAAGCTTGTAACAATATTGTTATGGAACACCTTGCAAGTTGCAAGAAGTCTGATAATACAAGTTATTGACAGCTTGTTACAAACTTGTTGACAACTTGGGACAAGCAGTGCGAACACAACTTGTTGACGGCTTGTTGGCAGACTTGCTACAAAATGTGATATTTTTACGTGTGTACTTCTCACAGGCTTAGTAGGAACCGATTGGTTAATCGGACATATCAAATGCATCGGATTGGTTATATAATGGTCCATTTATGGTAAATGAGTCAAATCAGAAACTCTCTGCTATCAAATCAAGTACACACGTAAAAATCTCACATCTTGTAGCAAGTCCTGTCAACAAGCTGTCTTCGCATTGCTTGTCCCAAGTTCTCAACAAGTTTGGAACAAGCTGTTAACAAACTTGTAACAAGCTTGTTGATATTATCAGACTTGTTGCAAGGTTGTTCCAACAAGTCCGATACAGTCATGATATAACAATAT